GGCAACCAGTCGCTAGTCGCTTTGAAGTCTGACTATACAATTTATGTGCTAAGATGAGGACGCTCACGACTATTATGTGCGCGCATAGACACCCGCCGAATGGCGAAACTAGCTGTCCTTAAAATGTATCAAAGTGCGCTGTTATACAGACGGCGTAAGCGCCCAATGAACTGGGCTAAAGGACAGCAGTCGCATGTTTGCCCGACCGTACTAGGCGCAGTTGTCTTTGTGTGGTAAATATGCTGACTAACCAGGATGTTAGATCTATAAGACGTCGCTGAAATGATTGGGGACTCCTTCTGAAGTACTCGTTGCGTGGATGGATTTGATGCGAAATCTCAGTGTGGGCCGTGATTCGAGCGGGCAACACCCGTTTTCCATCTTGCTCCGGAATCCATGGAATTTCGCCCATACATTACGGCTGGATGCTAACAAAATTAGATTCTCAAAGATCTCAAACGAAACTGCATGATAGCTTAAAGAGAGACCGCGAAGCCTTATGGAAATAACCCCTGTCCTTGGTAACCGTCAAAGTTATCCCGTCTAACACAGTCGAGTTTTCAAATGCGACGAGATGGGACAGTCTAGGTACAAGCGGTCGTAACGCTTGGGGTGTTGGGCCGAGCAATTTAAAAACCAATACAATCGTCCGGAACTACCAGGTTGGTTGCTGGTTTGTGCTAACTCTGTTTCTTGGATCTGCCAACCAAAACAGTTGTTAAATTTGAGTTCAGGCAGTTGCAATTAAATGAGAACTCTGGATAAAATGAATTTCCTCCAGACCTCCTCAAACTAGGGGACTCTGCTGGTGTGGGTGAATAGTGAAATTATGGGAAGAGTAAACTATTCCAACCAACTGGTTCAGCTCCGGTGTTTGACCCGTATTGAAGGTGGGCACATGTTCGGAAAGCATCATCCAAATGGGGATCAGTCTGCTATTTTCCGCTCCTAGGTTATTTACCTATGTCCTACTTCACAGAGTGACTGGAGCCCGTATACTCAACCTTCGTAAAAAGCAACCGGATTTCGTAGAAACCGAGACTAAATCAACCGCATCTTCACTTTTACTAAATTACTGAAGCACCATCATATTGTGACCCACTGCAGTCTTATTCCTCGACTTAAACGTCACCTTCAATTGGTGGATCGATGCAATGTTTGAGACTAGAGAGTAAAATGCTTAAGCATGAGCGTTTTCAGCGCTGTTATAGAGACCGCGTTTGTCTGACACGAATTGGGTTATCGAGCTGCTCCCAGTTTGTTGAATTCTTGACTTGAATATGCCGAGGACATTGCCCTAATCTGTACCAGCACACAATCATGTAAATCAGCCAATTTTCGCCACTCTCGCTCTAAGCAAGCGAAGTTTACAGTTCAGCCGTGCGTCTAACCTTGCGGTTGTTAACTGCAGACTATCAGAGCGACAGTCTTGCAGACCCTAGTTACATTCTACCATCTGTACTTTCCCAGTTTAACTCACATCTGGCCAGAAAACCGCGCGAGCATCGTGAGTGTTCAGTGTCTTATTTTCGGTTTAGGAAGAGCGTGTGAACCGCTGAGCGCCATTATTTTACTCACTAAGCCTGGATGACTGGGCCGTGTGTTACGCATGCCAGCACAGAGACTCCAGCAGTATGCGTACATTTCGCCATCGCCGTCTGCATGGACGAAAAAGCGAACAGACCAATCGAATACTTGGTCAAAAGAGATATTGGCGCTGCCCTCAGACATGACATCAGTTGAAGCTTCCCGACCCCTGGGTTGGGGTCCTTTGGACAATGAGCAAAGTTGGTTGTTAACACTTGTTGACATGATGAAGAACTGAACGCAAAGACATCTGTGTTTTGTTTAAAATGTATGTTTTATTAGTTCGGTGAATGGTCTCAAAACACATAGGAAACAAGAGTTATAAATAAAAGCCCTTTACTTGAATTCAAAGTAATCACCAATAGCAACAACACAGTTCTGACATCGGTGGTAAAACTGTTGGAAACTATCGATAAACGTTTCTTGTGAAATCGCTCGAAGCAAGGTGGTCAAACGTCTTTGGATCTTCACAACGTCTGTGAAGCCCGTCTGTCAGGGCTAATTTAAGGTGGGGAAGCAAAATGACATCTGCCGGCTTAGATGTAAAGGATAAGGGTGTTGAAGAATAGGCACTTTGCATTTAACGGAGAAGTTGAACAAGCGAATCGGAGTGTGAGTTACCATGGAAGCAAGTTCACTGCCCATTCCAGTACATTAGTGGCCGAACCCGCCAGATGTTTTACACCAGCCGTTTCCAAACACCCTCGTTAACATCCACATTGACATTTTGACTCTCGCGCAAAAGTTCATAATAGATCAAGCTATTATTAACATTCACTTTATCTTGGATTTTGTCTGCAACCGTTTCGGGAAGCGGAGAAGGTGATGAAAACCGTACCATTGACGGATGCTGGGATGGTACTAACAGCACCAGGCGTCATCTCCTGCAATGATAGTTAACAAAGACAGCGGATTCCGGTCCGACATGTAAATGACATTTCCAGACGTTTCCATCCAACTTTGTTTCTGCTGCTCTGTCAGTTTGTGCGGTAAAACCGGGCAGAAATCCGCTTTTTTACTGTTTGTGAACAATACTACATGCACAATCTTTTCTTTTTGCAACTCTTATACTAGCATGCTTAAAGACAGCCGCCGAGCGCCAGCAAACATTCGTCGCACAGATCCGATGTTGTCTGTGATTATGCTTGCTGACGGTCAACACGAACACTGCTCATACTCGGTACCTTTGTTTCTGCCGCACAAATATATATGTAAAGAGTAACAGACGTATAAAACACACCTTTTTATGCTTCAATACAGCTCATTCGCACTAACGTTTCTTGAGTCTCTGTCGCCGTTTTGCCTCATTTGATGCAAATCTTCATGTTAACCTGCTGGTACATTTCGTACTGACACGAGCTCTCACACTGACTCCGCTAGCTTGGTCATAGCATCACCCACTACTCCATTTAGGTGAGTTACAGGATACGGGGTTGCTGACATATTTCTCAATACGTATGTGACCGCCCCACGTCTTAACTAGGAAGGTGTTGAACAAGTGTGACCGATCACCACAAGTTTCAGACGCAACATATAATTTCTACCGCCCCATCCCACTTAGTCTTCTCGCCAATCAATATCTCGGCGACAGTGAATAACGAAGTTAGAATAATAGTATTGACTTTTATTTTGCTACCATCCAATTGAATTGTATTGCAACAGATTTGCCGTGTTGTCCCTATCCCTAGCTATCATGTGAAACTATAATGTCGCAAACGACATTACTCGTTGCAGTCGTAAATAAAGTTTGGAGTGAGCTCTTATCTTTGATTTATAAGTCAACAAATCAGTCTACCACCGTACTAGTAACCTCACAGCTTACCACCGCCAATGTTTTTAAACATACTCATTCATGTTCTGTCAACACTGCTATACGTGGTATCTAGAAAATGATGATAGCAGCAATCTACGGTAGGCTGGCTTCGTACAATATGGCATTGTCTAAAACTGTATTCTCAATTCTTTCTGCGATACAAAGGCACCATAGATTTGTGAATATGTCCACTGAATGCAGTCCGGAAACTGAACTTGGCAGCTTTAAACGCGTTCTACTGCGTACCGGTTTACAACTGTGACATTTTACTTTAAAAGAATTGCGAATGTAGTATGTTACGAGTCTGACGCAATTTTCTGCAATCCATACCTATAAGGCACCGTTAGATACAGGTAGGTACGTAACATGAAATGGAAACTCAGGAGCACCGGAATATATACGGGACGGGTCAAGTCGTTCGAGATAATTTAGACTGCATATGAAGTATAGTTTAGCTAAAGGCGCTGGGTAAATTGTAATATGTCTGATTAGAATTGTGAAATTTTCATGGTACGTAGTGTGTAACGATCGCATCGGTTGTGTGGAATGCATTGTTTGGCCAAACAGAGGAACCAGGGAGGTAGTAACTGCTCGAATCATTCGGCGATGTAATGTACTATATTGTACATATCATCCCAAAACTATGATATCTGTGTATTCTAACGGTTCAAATGTTCTGCTTCTGCGTCAAGTTCTCCCATATGTGTGTGATCTTCTAATGTTATTTATGCATTTGGCTATTACTGTATACACTATTAGCCCATTTCATTTTGTGCTTGTAAAAGCAGACAAACAAAGAGGCGCAGAATTGGAGATGCATGCGGGGACAGCTGTATGGTTCGTTTAGTGATAATTTTTCTTGTTTATTGGAGAAAGTGCACTGTGCGTGATAACTACATGTTCATATTTCACTGCTACCGATTGAAGTTTGAACCAAGCCTTATGAGATATCTAAAATTTACAGTTTACAAAGCCACCACAACAAAACCTAAAGGATGCAAGTCCGATCCTAAAAAGAGTGTTTATGGTTTTGTTAAGCTCAGTAAAGAAACATCTGCAGTTACAGTGTTCAACTAGGAGAACAGCGCGAGTTACTGAGTATTATCATTAATGTCTAACATTAGATAGTCTTAGTAGATGGAAAATACTGATGCTAACGACAAGTGAATATTTCTTTTGAGTGAAAATTTAGGTCCAAAGTGAACTTGGTCGATGCGAAAAACAGAACAATACTGTCATCTGCAAATTACCATTTTTAGTAGGAATCGGTATGATTATCTCAGATATTTGCGTTTTAGAACGGCCGTTTGTACTTAGTCAATTGATAGCATGATATTACTCACCACTAAAGTCACTGTTTGATATTGGAGAAGGTACTACTCAGATGGTTGCTATTCACTTCGAAGTCATGCCCATTTTAAACCGCATCAGCTACCTTTTGCCTTAGGCATAAACATTCTAGTCCCACGTAGCTTTCATATTGGCTGTTAAGTCAATATTCGAGTTACACGACGGCTCTGCTTAATCGTACTACAAGGCATTATTAGACCCTTTAATCTTGCTTAATGTTTGTTGATAAATTTTGCGTACTTTATTTCAGCCCCACCAAAAGGATTTCCAAAAATTATTCAGGATCCTTCGGCTACGATAAGCCAAGTTGGCTCATCTGCCCAGCTCCATTGTGATGTGTCCGCAGACCCTCCCGCTACCGTCTCCTGGATCAGGGACCAGTTTTACCCTGTAGATATGACAGCTCCAAGATTTCGTTTGATAGGCAAGTGTTGGGTGCTTATAATGATCACATGCGAATTGCAGTACCAAAGATTCTATGAACTTTAACCAGCAAATACACCTCGTTTTGCAGGTGGTGGTAGAGGACCAAAATTTGTAAACTTTGCACGCATTCAGTTTAGCCTACATGCGAGACGCACCATAATTTTAGACGGTACAACTTTACTCTAACATCCCACGCATCGAAAGACACTTGTTGTACACAGTGTTCAACAACAATAAGGGAGCGGAAACATAGGCACTGCATTTCTTGCCACTTCCATGCCATTTTGAATTAATGTGATTGACTGGGATGCATATCCGGTCATGTAGGACAGAACACTTATGCATAAATATTTACTTTCGTTCTAACATGGACATGAGGCTATACTGAATGGATTTCATTGTAAGCACTTCCGTACTGGGCGGATTTTCCCTTCAGCGATAGAGGCACCTTTATGTTATAATAAGTACTTGTTTATGTACGTTAAAAATTGCGTTCCGTCCACGGCAATTGCTTAGTGTGGTGTCCGTGAAAATATTCTGACGAAAACGTCGAATATTTCGGCTGGATTTTTACTAAAATAAGAGACTTTATATAATAAATATTAAGATACCATTCGTTGCACTCAAGTTGCGCTTGATCAAGTAGGCATCAAAAATGCTTTCAACCTGAGGAATGAAATCGCTATACCGTTATTATAAAACTGGAGAGAGTGGAACTTACTAAGAGAATATTTTCGCGAGTAAAGATAACCGATTAATATTATAGCTGGAAGAACCATAACAGCAATGGAGTAATGGATTATGATGGGCATAAATTTATTGACAGGTCCAGTTAGATGGTTGGGGTAAGAATTGCCAAATGAAGATCAGTCACGATAAAAAGCGCCCCAGATACATGGCTTTCCAAAAGGTTTAGAGTAATACAGGTGTGCTTATTCATGCCTGGAATTTGAGGTGATTTTGACACCCTCCACTGTTTGTTATGCTCCAATGCCATAATCTGATGGTTATGGACTATCGCATGTAGTAAAATATGTGTCAGTGTATAGTCAATGCGTTTTTGAATAAGGATGAAGTGGTGGTATGGATTACATTCTCTATGAGAGAGTTCCAAAATTGGCACCCGGAAGGAGAGCAGGTTTCGTCGACACTCCAATCGGCTGTACTGTGTGTCCAACCTAAACTGATGACCGTTCAGTGACGTGCCGTGGCTAAATTACAAAAGATGGCGGGCATGTTTTGCTGAGGTGTTTTTGGATCTGATACACAAAAATTAGATCTCCCCGAAGACGACGATAATGTCCGCTGTAGATTTTTTGAGTTTTCGGTCTGAGTGAGTAGGGAAGATGGGACAAAACTTGGCAATGCTCGTCAACTTGGATTCTGCTGTATCGGTCGCGGTGAGATGGTGAATCTGCCAAGGGTGCCACGCTAAGATAACGTATTCCGTGTGTGCCTTTAACATACACAAAAAGCATTTCGGAGAGACCGAAGCGTCGAAATTTCTGAACACCCTACAGAAGAGACCGAAGTGCCGATTTTATTTCCTTGATGCCTTTTCTGTCTGCTTCCAGTAGTCTAGGTCATCTTGCACCAGTGCGCCGAGAACACACGCGTAAGAAGCCCAACGTGGACCGCGAAAGCTCTGATGTCTTAGGCGGAGAATGTTGTGATTGGTGGCGTTGAACGGCAGCATGTTCTCCATGGACCATGTGTACGATTTATCCAGCTCATCTTGTACGAATGTGTGATCCTCTGATGTGCTGGTAGTATGCCATACCTTTAGATCCTCGGCGAGTACTAGGAGATTTGAAGATAACAAGTTCGCGCGATCATTCATAAGAACCAGTGACAGACAGGGTTCAAGTATGGTGTCCTGTGTTACGCCGCACTGGACTTCGATTAAATCGGATAGGGTGCTGCAAATCCTCACCTTCAGGTGCTTTTGCGTATGACAGTAGCTTATGCAACCCAAAACGTGATTACCTTTTGCACAATACTGAAACTTGTGAAGTAGAATGCGACAGTCCAAACGGTCGATTGCCTTCGAGAAATACACATAGACGGTATCTACTCCTACACTAGCGTCCTTCTGCATGCTTCCAGATTGCATGCGTATTACATCACGTAGAGCCTTTACGACAAATTTTGAAATAATGTAATTTATTTATTAGTATCATCTGCAATCGGAACCAGACTTGTTGTTTTTGGTACCAGATGGTTTCCGATCAATCCATTTCACGTCGCTTCTCCGACTTTTTGGTTAACCTTAATATTATCTAGAACAAGCCAACTTAGGGCTGTCAAAGTGTCTTTACCAGCGAAACACCGTTGCAGCATTTCCGAGACCAGATACTTGTAACTGCTGAAACTTAGATATATGAGGTTGCATCCTCAGGCCATTATTCATTTGCGTAATCACTACATGTGGCGCCATCTACTCTGAAAGAAGTCGACACCACCCATGTTGAGACAATTAAGGATAAGCGTAGTAAATCGGTGAATAATGACAAGCCCACCCATTAATAGTCGTCAAAGCGCTACGTTTAACTTATTCATTTCGTAGATTTTCGTTATAAACCTTTTGTTCAATGACGCAAGAAGTTATTGTAACACAAGTCATCTGACATGCGAGAATCAATCGATGTCGAACGTCAACCTCGAAAATGGACGGAAGCCTCTTCTGGACAAGTAGAAATTAACTACCTCTAACCCTTGTTCAGACATCCTATTTCCGTTTTGTCTAAACAGTGGTCGCAACCGATATTTTGCGTTCGGTAAAAACATGCCACAGATATAACCTACTATACACATCTACGCCTGCTGGCAATTAGGCAGTCTAACAATAAGTTTCATACTTCCTAAGTGAATATGACAACTAGAAGCGATCTGACCAAAAGTATCGAATTATTGTGCCTGAGAACATAGCCTTAACATTTCAGCAAAAATTCGTCAGCTAACATCCAGTAATCAACAAATCTCACAAAGTAATCGCCTTTGTCTATTTCAGATGAGTTGCAAGCGCCCGCTAACTACTGGGATGTTTCAATCGACACTGCCATTGCCCAGCCCTAATCGATTGTCGCTTGCCTACTAATACCTGTCAAATAATCTCTAACCACAGGAGATACTCGAAAAGTTGGACTTGCAGCTTGGCGCAAGGGGCGGCAACAACTCACCTAAAATCAATTTAGAATAAATGACATAAGCTAGACCTGACGGTAACATAAGTTAGGTAATGCACGTACTCTCGTTTAACGGAATTCTGCGGAAAAACGCGAAAAGTATCATCTCTTGGATGAGTCGCTTAAGTTCGGCTACAAATAGTATGCTAGAGTGAAAAAACAAGCAAGGCAATATAAAACCCATTTCTCAGACTTATTATGTTTGCCTTTAGGGAAAAGCAAAAACTGGCATCCCATAATTAAATTGGAGCTTTCACACCAAGTTGCTTAAAACTGAATATCTGTTACACTCCAAATTCAAAGGTTTTCCCTCCAAGGAAACGTAGTCACTGTAGTCCCGAAGGAAAATACTTCGCTGAGCTAACTGCGTACTTCCCTATTAGTCAAACGAAATTAGTCTTGTGCGATTATTGACCCTGTTGCGCTCGCTTATGTTATGTCAAATCAACACATAGCGGCTAACAAAATAAGGAAACGGTACAACGCCTTCTTTGAATTTGGTTGCATAATTTAACTATATATAAATTGCTTCGGTTGAACTTCCAGGGACTAAGCACGCACAAACAAATCTCCTCACAGTCGCCCCTAACTGTCACCGGATAGAAATAGTAAGAGGGCTGAATAAAACACAGCCCTTATAGCCAACAATCATTTACTGTGTTTTCATCAAGACGTCAAATAAGACACATGCTAATCAGGAAACTGGGCACCAGATTTACAAGTATCTCTTTGCCAAATATTTAAGGTTCTGTTACATTATAAATCGATTAGACGAGTGGGTGATAATGCTTGAATGCATTCATATTGTTACTTACTGGAAGTTCTTGATAACCATTAGCGCTTTGTGTTACCTTTCAGTTATGTTTTTAAGCCATTAAATTCACCTGCAGTTCGTAAATTTGTTTAAGTACTGATCAAATGACTCGTAGTAGCAAAATTGGTGTGCAAGGCGGAAGCTAATGCAAAGCACAAATTTATAAGGAATACAACATATCCAACCTCATCTGAACTAGTTCAAAAAATAGAGGTTTGGAGATGTAAAATTCTTTAGTGTATATGAAAACAGGATAAAAAAAACTGTGCAAGTCCTTAAATCGGATTTGGTGGTTGCTGCTTGGTAATGACGAAAAATGCCAGAAGATCGGCTTAAACAACAAAAGAAACACAATTGCTGTTGCACAGTTAGAATATGTTAACCTTTGATGCATTTATTCGCTCGCAAAAACTCATGAGCATATGGTTCTCTAAAATAGCATTATATATGATGATTATGTCCTGCGATATCAGCTGCAACGCATCCAAAAAACACTGCACTAAAGAGTTATTCCGTACCTTAAACAAATCAGGAAGGTACAAGCGTATGCTTTGTCCGATTATTGCAAATGAAAATTATCAGGTGTTACTGTGTACAATGTAGACGTTGCAGTCCACACTTTGTGAACATCACAGCGTTTGGAACCGAAGCATATGGATTGGCGGCATCTTATTCCGAATGAGCTTGTCACTGCGGCCTCCATGGGAACGGCCAAAGGACGCCCGCGCATACGCAGTGATCATGAATGTCTTGTGCTCCATCCGTACACACCATATTAAGTGTAAACCCGAAGGAATAAGACCGGGAGGCATGTGGATGGGGACCTTTTTAACCAACGGAGCGGACCTACATTCCTTCAACATGCACAACAGCAGAATTCTTACCTAGTTGATGAATCATGCGGTCGTTGGGCAGTAGCCCGTTCCACACAGAATGGAACCACTCTCGAAGGCCTACCGTGGTCAGGTAGACTGTGCTCTTAGTTTCCCCAACAACGATTCACATTCTCCTGGAGCCAACACTTGTGGTGTTGGGTTTCCAATTTGCAGGCCCCTTGTCACCCTTCATATCAAGCGCAACCAGGCAGTCGTTATCACACCCGAGGTTTAATGTGTCAAGCTCACATTCGACAGGCAGACAAATTTAGTCAGACCTAGAAAACAAATCACATCATAGGCATCTGCAGACTAAGTTTGGGAGCTTGCATACTGGCAATGCGAATTCCGTATAATCGCGTACACTCACATACTTTTCTTCACATTTGTATATGGCTACCACAAGGTGAATGCGAATACGTGAACCCAACGGACAATCATAATACCAACACGCACGTGTTAAGATTTCAGACACGCAACCGCCACGTCCTTAAAGATATGGGAAGTCGCACGCACAACAGTAACTAGCTAATTAGAGACGATCTGTTGATAAACATGAACGTACCTGTGTTCTACCTGATTCAGCAACTCACTACCTTTATGATCCACTTCTGGTGGCATAATCTTATCTGGTCCGTCCGTCTCGACTTACAACTCACTGATTGGGGCGCCGTTGTATTGATTGGCTCCGTCCCACTGAGCGCAACACAAGCTTCACCCTGAGCTGGACTGTGAGGGCTTCGCTGCTAGGCATGAGAATGAGACCGTAGTAGAATACATGAAAAGGACACTGAATGTGCAACAGTGAGACAGGACTGAGCAAGTCAAAGTAAGCGGATTAAGGCGGATCTAGTGTAACGACAGTCGGCGTCTCCCAATTTAGATGGCGAAGCTTGTTGTGTGCAACATCAACCACAGCATGGAGCAGTCATATAGGTATCGGCATCCGGATTAGCCTGTGAATCTTTCTCGCTTAAAACAACTACAGGACTGAGGTGCCTGTATAGAAATTCTGGATGTTTGTGGCTACACTAGAACTGCTGACCAAATAGTCAAGTGTCTGCGCAAATGACTTTGCCTCTGATGCTGTAAGAAAACGGGTATTCCGTCCTAACTCACCCTTCTCCACACTGTTTGCCAAATAACGTGCACCGCCCGCACAATTTAAATAACATGCGGTGAGTTAAGGAAGCTTTCATCAGCCGTACCACCAGGGGCTACATGTCATTCCAATTATGCTCAGCCTCACATTGTCTTTTTGGCATAGCCCCATCTTTTCCTACCTGATGACCTAAACTTGTCCCATAGGACATTGGTCGAAGCCAAGGATTTGACAGTGCCAAGTTGGATCATTTTGGCGTCATTCATGGCTCGTCGCTTTTCTGCCCTGAAAAGGGCGCAGGCATCTTAGTTCTGCCAAATGGCACTCGACGAAAACTGCGACGATTTGCGGGCATTTAGGTTGAACTTGTTGGGCAGCAGCTGTGATCGCTCTCACGTTCTGCTCCACGCATAACCTGTGTTATACCGGGACCTTGTCCTCTTGAAGTATGACAAGGTAAATCAGCGAATGAACATGACCACTTCGGGTGCGAAGATGTAGAAATGTCAGTGGTATAGTGAGCGAACTGAGTGTTCGTGGTCGTCGGGCCGTGTGGTAAGCAAGCGCTCTCCCTTTCCATTGACTACCAAATATAAGTAGAAATGATCTTTAGTATCGCGAAACTAACACATGGGGGCCATACATACTAATACCTGTTACGAACTTACCTCGTCTGAGGGGAACACGAAATGATATCAACAGTGGGCTGGTACCAGTAGGCACCCCCATCAAGCTGCCATTCGGGTGAACGACGATTACACTTCCGACACTTTGTTTATGTGGTATACTATGTCGACATTTCCAATGCAGTAGAAAGTGCAGTAAGAACCATCCTCGAGACATGTACCATGGTCAGCTAGTCAGTTCTCACTCAGTGCCGCAATATCACTGTCGTAGCGCTACAAGCGTCGGTTCGACGCGTGGGTCATTTAGTGGTTTTCCGATAGTGTATTCTACGAACATTTCAGCATCCAACCTTGTGCATATGGCTCGTTGGCCTGCGGCTATATTGTTTCATATGGGTTGCTAGGGCACCCGGAAAGAAGCAGGTAATCAGTGATAAGTAAATTTTTCTTAGGCGCTCTGCTGTGTGTAAAAGGTAGGGTGACACCTAACTCTTGATTCCCCGACGGACAATGTCTGCGGAGATTGCTGCTGTTTTCCTTAGAACTGTGCGTGCTCAACAACAGTACTATGTTTCTGGTTGAAAGGATATCAAGGAATTTAGGAACTGGTTCTACGTGAATGCACTACTGTACACAATAGACGCAGCGGTTATTACGTGCTGACTATTAGGCAGTGTCGCAGTAGTTCATTCGTAGTTTTCCGCTGAATGACGATTCGCATCTCCTTTATGAATGCAAACGCTACTGTGCGTAGCCATAGATGCACCAAATATAAAAATGCAGTCTAAATTACGAGTAGTTTCCTATGGTGCTTGTCACAGAGATACCAGAGTAAGCTATTACACCAATTATTTTTGATTAACTGTGGACTTAATAATGGGACATCAACGCGATGCTTGATTTCTCACCCCAAACATTCTCACTACCCAAATCCTATTGAATATCTCGGGTGAAAGTTTCATAGTGCTTACAAAATTTCGTCCTCGAACATTGGAAACTAGTTTACTCGGATTTGGTGCTAACTATTGTTATGTTCTTTGAGATTCCTCATTAAGTGGATTTTATGCCTAATTTGGTTTCTTGTCTGTGCTAGTTACAACAACCTGCATTTCCAGAAGCTGGATTGAATGACTCATTGGACGTGGATAGTTCCGTTTTCGCTCTCTCTCTCATTCCTTCGCTCCACGCCGCGTTTCGTCCCACTTTGCACTCATCAGGTAGAGATAGCCACTTGTAAGAGTGGAACTCCGCACATAGTGTTCGACAGTTATCGCCATTATCACTATACCATATTATTCCACTAGGAGAGTCTGACACAGCGGTCTGAATCTGATCGTCGGGTTTCGGATTGCGCGTCGCAATCCAGTGCCCACGGGGGTACTCCAAAACTCGACAATCAAGTTACTTGATGTCTCACGACTTACGCTTTTTCCAGGCTTATTGAAACTGAGACTATGAAGAAAAGCACGTACACTTGACTCTCCGTTCTCCCCTTCACTAGGAACCTAAATAACAATGAGTTGTGGAACCCAACGGTAATGGAAGTGATTCACTCTTCTTTTCGCGAGTAAACGAATCTTACAACAACATGAGAACTTCTCATTTCCATGGAGGCTTCTCACAGCCTCACTCTGTCAGACAACTGTCTTGCATCCCGAGCAAAATTGGAGTGTCACTTTGTTCTTCGGAAATCGTAGACAATGCATTTTCCATCTATCCCGTGTGGGGCTAGGACTCGCGAACTTACGAATGCGTACTTAAGACTAATGGACCATGAAGAACATTCTTCGAAAATGTTCTCCAAATTCATTCCTTGACTGCGCTCTAAAAGTTGAGTTCCATTTTTGTACCCTCAAGTAACTTCAGTAGTGGAATTCACAAAAACAGAATACTCAAACCTGAAATATTCTCCTCCCAATAGTGACAGTTTACTTAATAAGGGAAATCCAAGCCTTCGCTTCTAGGTTCAGACTGAGTTTGTCTTATGTTTTAACTCTCTTAACTAGTTGTATGTTCTGGGCAAACAATTAGAAGAAATCAAACAGAAGGAAGAAGTCCACAGAATTGCTAATACAACAGTTTAGGTGCTTGCTTACGTGTTTGAATCAGCGGAGTTCATCTGCACAATAGCTCCTCCACTGGCTGAAAATTCAACCATGCTGCCTGGCCAACATTTGGGGCAGCGAACTTTTGTTTCACCAGGAGTTTTGTCATCCGAAGACTTTGCTCCGTTCAAAATAAATACGTACCAATCATGGAAATATGTGGACACGCGTTAAATGATGCAAAGCATCTTAAGATATTTGAAGTGCCAACAGATGGAGTTCAAGCTGATTAACCAAAATCCTGTTTGCTATTCACGAATTGTGCTATTTAAAGTCTTCTGGGTAACCTTCATTATTAAGCACAAGCTCTTCATCTATCCGATATTAAATAAACCCTGCAAAGCTGGCCCGAAACCTGCTTCGTATCACAATGCTCTGCGGCACTTCTATTCCAGGCAGATATTTTATGGTAGCTGTTCCACTCCACCAGGGCAAAATCTTTCCTCGAGTTGTCTCACAAGCCAAAGCAGGGTACCAAATATCTACCACAAAAGAGAATTGTGACAAAGGTTCCTTCAAATACTTACGTATTCACCGGGATTTGCTATAACAATTTTTGAGATGAACAGAAAAATCAAAAAGGATGTTGTTCCGTGCGCCCATCTTACTGTTTTTCTACTGTTGAAGTTCGAATACCATTATATTTTAAACATTCACAAACACATAAACGGTACAGTGAAATCTGTCGTGTCCATAAGTCGCACAACAGAAAATGAACATAGAACTGGCCTTATTCGTCTTTTTTGAGACTGTACAGTACAAATATGTGAAACTATGTAGCACAAAACCATGTGTATTTCGCTTCAGGAACCGGGTCTTTGGTAATTGAGACGCTGTTAGAAGAAGACTCAGGCTCCTACGAATGTATGGCGCGAAATTTAGTTGGAACTGTGTTGAGCAATTCGGGACACCTGCATGTGCGCAGTAAGTTTTGTTGTTTAATCTAACTTCCCAGTATGTCGCAGCCATCAAGATGGTCTACTAAAGTGTTAGTTTTATTGTTCTATAATTTAAATCATGTTTGCTTCTTAGCTTAAACAAACTCTCGGGTAGGGCCTAATAGTTTGATGAACTGACAACCCGGTATTATTTCAATTTTGATAGTGTCTGCTTTGGTAGACCGCATGCACAACAGAAAGTAAGATAATTTACCTATCAATAATCTCAAGTTACTTTGTCTAACATTAGTTAGTAAATTCGTGTTAGCTGCGTTCGCAATGTCTAAATCACGTAATTATAAAGGCAGCCGCATTTAGGGGAAAAGCAGTCGTTCACTCGTGGCTCGCAGGGGAAAAGCGTATACGGCCCGTCGTAGCAATAAAAATGAATAGTGGTACTCTAGAGGGATGATAACTCCAGTGACAATGTAGGTCTGAGTTTTGCATCTCCGTTGTAAGAGATTATGAATGAATGTAAAAGTGCTTCGGAATTTATGTACATCAATTATATCAGAGCAACTGGGGATGGTATATCGCCGATCATTAATAGAGAAACCTTTGTTAGGTTAACGCATCCAATTAAGCATCGGGACTAGAATTATCTTGGAATAATCGTGTCATTGGAGTAGATCCATCTAACGTTTACATCTGATGTCTGTTTAGACAGCCCGAAATTATCATTGTCAGTTGTTTATGGAGTATATGTGATGTACTTACTTGACAGTTAAGACGTACGGTGCCCTGGGAAGTTCGACTGTATCGCATTCTAGGCAGCACTTGAATCTGTTGGACGATTGGCGGTAATCGATCGAAACAAACTAATGAGAAACAATATGTGTATATGCTTCCAATGGAAAAATCCTTAAGCAATAATGGCTAAGTGGGGCAAAACACCCATCCGGAGTTAACAGGTTTTGGGAGTAAGGAACATTCATGCAAAACATCCAGCCTGGTGGCTCAAGCCACGTCTGATGATGCGAATAGTACCAGCAACAAGTGAGATGACAGCTCGGTGGAAGGGGATCCGTACGCTGGGCGCATAGAAATATGCTAAATCGTCATTTGGACCATTGGTTAAATGCTGTTCCAAATATCTGCGTTATGTCTGTTCATAAAGGGTATTATTTAATTTCACCAGTGACGATTGTTTTGACGATTTTGCACAATACCGAGCTTTCGCACACTGTTTGTTACTACTCTCTTACCGATTGTATATACGTGAAGTCGATGGACAGAACTCTAATAAAAGCATCTGATCTCTTCGTGCAGTACCGTTGATTGTTATTTAATTATCTTTACAAAAGCTGTTTTTTCATTTTGTAAGACCAGCTTTATCGCTTTCAACCCGTAGTTTATTCCGTTTACTGAGCACCCAGTTAGTACAGTGTTTTCGGTTACATTAGCTCCAAAAGTTATCTCAACCTGACAGCTAAGTTCCTTTCCCTCATTCGATTACTAGCAAAGGCACGTAAAGCACTAGCTGCTGCTTGTTCATGTGTATGTAGAGAACGCTATTGATTAGACAGTAGCTGATTTCCGTGTGCATTTTTCGCACCACCTCGCGCTCCCCTTAAATGCATCAAGTAGCCAACACAATAATTTGTCCATGGGGAAAGTCTAGGAAGCCGTGCGCTTGCTACTCTGCAATCAATTTGGCAGCATTGGTAAAAACAATTAACCGAAATTGCACACCAGAGTCCGAGTGAACATGTATATGTGTCTCCAAACCTGTGCGTTCCCACCCGGACTTGTTTAGTTCCTTTTCAAGGGATTGCGCTGTGTTCCCATGGATGAGAGCGTCGCAAATGCTACCTCTGTAAGCAAAAGCAATTGGGACTTCGACTATGCTCGCGTATGCGCAGATCCTGATTACTCAGCATGCGTGAGCTTAACAGATAGAAACAATGGGTTCTGAAAACAAGGTAAACTTACCGCATAACCACTTTTATAAGTGGTGTGTAGACACATGTATTCTATCCCGCATAGCTATGTTTGTGCATTTTGAAAAATCTGCTCTTTGTTTTGACAGCCAATTTAACGATTGCTTATCATTTTCTGCAACAACAAGGCAAGTTTCAATATGGTGAATGTAATCTCAGTTGTCACCCTGATGACTGAAGTGTATTTGTGAGTAGTCATTTAAATGGAAGCGTCCACTACTAATTTAGATGCAACGTTTGCACTGCCCCCAAGGTCTTGTTCTCGGCATGGCTCAACCTGAAGGCGCTGCACGCAGAAGCTTGATGCATGGCCCTGCCCTATCCTGCGCACATTGCTTGATTGTACATGACGGAATTAGACCCTAACTAAACTTACGTTAAACTATTATCCACAACCAAATTTTTTCTTTGTCAGGAATTCAATTTCCACCAATCATTAACGAAATGCCAGAGAAGGTTTATGTTCCACCGGGGCAAAGCACAAATCTTTCATGTCGCGCTGGTGGATTTCCTGTGCCCATGGTATGGTGGTCCACCATGGGAGCTCCAGCAGGTCCACGAAATACCAGACCAATTTTGCTTACCGAACGCCCGTTAACAATTCCGCAACCGCATGAAGGTACTTTGCGGCTCACTGATATAACCGAGACCCATGACTACTATTGCATTGCTAAGAACAGTTTGGGTTTAGTACGAAGAAACGTCAGTGTTACTGTTAAAGGTGAGGTGACATAGTTTTAAATGTTCGCTAAGTTTTCATCTGTATGAATATGTGCAATGTTAGGTTTTCATTTTCACTGACATCAATGGGTCACAGAAATTAAGCAGATTTCATGTAACGTCAGCTTTTGGTGTGTAACTAACTGGTTTAAAAGCAAATTTAGTACAATTTCCACTGATAGGTCTTGTCTGAACTTCGTGAATCCTAAAACTTTCACAGAAATTCCATACCATTTGGATTTTCTTACTTTGTAACATTATTTCTCTTTGTTCCGGTAACTGTTACAAATAATTCGCCGTCTAAGCCTCACGTACATTTGACTTTAAATGTCTTTTAAAAAGAAAGGTTCGGTTTGTTGTGTCCGCTTTCTTTGGTTTTATACCAGCAGATGACTGCAGCTTGGATCCAACTGTGCCTTCCGTGGACTATTTTACTTTATTGGGAAATGAGCATCGTTTATGAAGTACACCAAAGTTACTTAGGGCTGCGAAATGCAAAAATGTAGCACAAAGTGCAAAGGGTGCATTTGTCCTTCACCTTATGCTAATTCGATCCACAACAACGTATGACACACAGCTAAGAATCAGATGCCTAAACAATCAGAGCCAATGGTTTATCAATGGAAGGGAACATTTTGTTTATGCAATATTCACTGCGCTGACCGAGATTGCTATGGCAGCGGGAACAGCGAGAACAACTGCTGGCTAGAATTTGGACTTGTACTGCATGTGATGGGAAGGTTTATGGCGCTAGCAATGGTTAAATTATTTTACGAACTGGCCGGTAAGTTAAGCAATGATACTACCATTGGCGTTGGCTAAAACTGATAAACAGGAACAACCACGTCGCATGCTGCGCGGTGTGAAGCGTTAAGAAATTTTTGTATCCTTTCTTTCAGGCGTTTAAGTAATTACCAACGGTCGCAATGCAGTCAGGACCAGTTATTTAGCCGGGCTGCCATTGCTATGGAGCATTGGATCCTTTGTGACGACTCGTTCAGTTCCTGATACTAAGGTAAAAGTGACGCAAATGCAGTGAGCACCGGATACAAGCGGAAACACAAAATCTAGTGGGAACAAAAGTTAACAGAATGTCAACTAGTTAGGCAAAAAGAGCAGTAGGCCTCAACAATACGTCGAATATTTGGCAGTCATAAATTTGCATAATACTAACTGAGCAATCTGGTTTTTAAATTCTGACTTGGTTAATCGGAGGATCTTCATCCATCCTGGCTTTTTGGTTACAGACTGTACACATCTGAACGTCAAAAGTAGGAACAGCTATGCTGGACGCACTGTTCGAAATCTAGGTGGTTGAATTAATGAACCCATTCCAAAGTGAATAGAACAGGCGACTATAGCACCAAGTGAAGCATGATACAAAGCTGCCTCAGAAATTACTAGGCATTTGCTAAACACCGGTCACAGAGGAACCAGGATGCGTCATTCACATCCATCATGCACAGTCAATTGCCTCCATTTCACCAGCTCCACAGGGCCATTGTTATCGCTAGCGCCCAACACTGTGTTGTCAGTGACACTACGACTTCCGTGATTACGTGTTAATCTTCAAAGGACCCCTAATCTCTTTCATGTGTCTTCATCTTGAATAGTTTGACAGTTAGATTTTGGTGACCGAAGCTTATTCATGTAATGATAATGTCATCCCACAAATTTCGTCCTCAGATATTCTTATCTAGACAAGAATTACTACATTGCCCCTTTACTGTGCTTACATGTTGCGAACATGTCGAATATCTGAAAGCGGCAAAACTCTAACGGCTAAGCAAGATTTGATAGCCATTTTCATTCATGCTGTTATGGGACATTAGAATTTAATAGAATACTTTCAGAGTTATATCAGAGAACACTGTTTGCAATAAATTATTTCATACTTTATCCGAAGGTAACTTACACGATCAAATTTATCAGCGATCAAAATATAAGGTTTTTCCCTCCGTTTGATTTCTTTCTTTAACGAACGGGGTGCCCTGATTGTTCAGTTACACGGATAAGATCAAAATAGGCGTGGTGCCAAACTTTTCATTATACTTAATGGGGTTTGTGTCAATCCATTAAATGGTACTCAGAGAAAGTTTAGAGACTGAATTACTTTAGCTAACATAAACCAGAATCCCGCATCACAAAAAATGAAACGGGTTTGTTCTTCAATTATTTATCACCAATTCTGTTTCAAAGCCCAGTTTTTGAATTGAAGGGTGATCCATATTTCCAAGTGGTTGGCACCTTTTGTTAGTCAATGGAAGGAACATCACTGACAACAAATTTAGTCGCATATGCCACTATGTGTTTTGATAAGATGAAAGTAATTACGCCGAATAATAATGGAAGATCGTATTGATTCTCATATGTGCGTAAAATTCATCTCTGCATGGAGGGATGAATTTGATTCGTTTAAAGAAAAAGTGGAAGTTATATTAGAGTGGGTTACGTTACGTGACTTCTGCAACAGCTATAACGATTCGATCTCCCACGCAACCATTACATAGTCTAAGTTGTCTCCAGGCTTACTGCCCTTTGTACACACCGGCACGGTACAAAGTTTTTGAAACAACAGCAACACTCAGGGAAAGCAAATCGTCCAGACCGTTAGTCGCCCGTTGTTGTCAAAGAAGGTGCTGACTTGCTGGTCAAATTTCTGGCTAATTTATTCACATTATGCATTCAAACACATAAAATTGTCAACGGCTGCAGAGGCGTCAATAACACAATACCCAAAAGGGGTTCAAGCAAATAGCGATTAATTGCTTGTACTCTGGTAGTCTTAAAGGTGTTCGACAAAGTCATTCATGAGAGCATTCTGGCATAACAGAAGTCAATTGATTCTTTTCAATTTGCCTACCGCAGTTCGAGGTCAGCCCGAGACGCAGTAGCCTACCTTCTGAACTCGGTTCTGTCATCCTCAGACGATAGAAACAAGCTAACCCTAATATGTATTTGTGAAATAAAACAACGTATTTGGCTTCGTAAACCAAGAATTACTGCTTAAAGATCTACTCGCTGCTGAAATACCTCTTTGAATCACCCATCGATTGAGGGATCTTTTACTGATCACATTCAGTTTACCCGATTTCGGAGCAGAAGCTCCTCGCCTCTAGGCACAAAATCCGGGGCTCTTCGGGGAGCTATTCTGTCACCATTTCTGTTTTCCAATTATGTCAACTCAAAACCGGTCTCACGCGAGGCAACACTGCTGAAATACGCAGCTGACATTGTCCTGGATGTCAATCAATCGAAGGCTGCCTCTTCAGTCCAATCGCAATCAGGCTAGACCTTACCGTGTTGCGATGGTTTGTGTGCCTCAGCGACCCATTGACCTATGCTGGGTGGTACATTTTTGCACCTCCAGCGTCACTCATACCAGATTGGTCAGTGGTTAAAGCCAGACAAACTCAGCCTCTTGGTCCTCCAGGTTGGAGGTTGGAATGTGGGTGGCTACTTATTACTTAAAACGGACTCCTTGTGGCCCAACGCCAAACTCGCTGCCCTGCGGTCAGGTTTTCGAACCAAAGATTTTCGTTGAGAACTCTAATCGTTCTCCTGTCTAGGTCTCGGCAACCTGACAATATTCTGCCCACGCAATACGAGGAATTTCGTTTCAAACAAATTCCTGGTGCTCTGGGCACCGCAGAGGATAAGCAACGTTGCCCTATCTGCTGCATCGAGCAGGGTGCATAGGGGTTTCGATGCTACTGATCAAGCCTTCCTGTCTTCTAATTCCACTCTTACGCTTTTTCTCCACTATGGTTCTATTCCAACTTCACATTTATCCCCCCGTTTTCACCCCAGTGATTTTGGCCTTCCCCAAACACACTTTGCTACACATTGTTCTCGTCTCAACTCACACGCAAACGCGGAGCGTCACCCCTGCCCTGTCGACAAACCTATGTCCAACCAAGCGGTGCACTTCAGTTCATCGGCTTCCATTTGGAGCCCTCGATTCTCCTTCAGCTTGGCATGCCTCAATGTTCGCACAGTGCTTCAGATCGGTCAACAGGCAACACTTGCCCGGATATTAGAGCCCCTCTCGATCGACATCTGCTTATCGGGGACCCGGCTGCAAGATTCGAGCTCTTTTCTCACTCTGCGATCCCCTTCAGGTGACACCATCAGTATTTACTCATTGCACCTATCCGGTGATGATGCAGCTTCGAGCACCTGCCAAGCTGGTGTTGGCATTGCCCTGAGTCCTCGGGCTGAAGCTGCTCTTGTTGATTGGATTCCCATCAGTAGCAGGATGTGTGCGGTCCGATTGGATTGCTCGTTCAAAGCTTAGAAGTCGCGCCGGACTAATAGGTGTCTATACATCATCGCTGACTACGCGCCCACTAACTGTAGCGATGATTCGGTAAAGAATGTCTTCTACCGCCAACTATCCCAGCTCCTTCGCCACAGACGGAGCACGGACACGGTTTTGCTGGCGGAGAATCTAAACGCACAAGTTGGAAAGTTGTGCATTGATGAACTGCATCTGGGCGGTTAACATGGTGTAGACTACGTAATGATAACGGTGAGCGGTTACTTCATTTGTGTGATGATACCCTCTTATTTATTCCGAGCACTAACTTCCGACACAGCCCTCTCAGGAGGGTGACTTGGCTCCCACCAGCCTTGGACGCAAATCGATCACATTGCAATCAGTTACCGCTGGAGAGGCTGCATCCAGAATTGTCGCTCGAGTTGGAGCACATGTGTGGACACCCAACATGAAATGTGTGTGTGCTGATATGCCGATTCGTTTTGGCGGACACCAACGACGGTGCTGTGAGCGCATTGACACCAGGAAACTGATAAATCCAGCTGTTCTGAATGCCTACCAAAGTACGCTGACATGCAGGTTGAGTAAGCGCTCACTGGAGTGGATTGAAGGTCACTGGTCGTATGTTCACCAGACGTTAATAGCAGCCGGTAAATCCTCATGTGATAAGTCTAATACCCAACATGGACATTGGAACTCTTCGCATTCTCTGGAACTTATCG